ATAATGGTGCCTAGCTAGTCTTTACTTGCATTCGTCTCAATGCGGTCAGTTAAAATGAACTAAAGATATTCTCTAGTTTATATTTACTTCAAGGGCCACACCAACTTTTGTATGGCCGCAGGCAAGATTGCAGCAGTGCGGAAACTTGGGCGTAGGTAACCGTTAGCCGCAACAAGTACAAATAAAGACGCACTGACTTTGTATGGTCAAATATAATGAAATTTTTGACAGTCAAATAGTAGGTATAATATCGAGACAAAGAGAAAGCGCGACGGGTAGGCTCGCTGAAGAATATCATCCCATCATCGCTACTGGCTTTGTGCTGACCAGTTAATGTTTATTATGTTTATATATGTATCTCAGGCGAAGCAACGCAGTAAGACACTATTAATTAGTGGGAACTCTAATTTTGATGCTTAGTCGTCGTAGCTCTTAAGTTTTGTAGATGCTATGCGCCGTGATGTAATCTGAAAGTTACTTTGTGTGTGAGGCTGCCCATACAACTCTTCTAATTGCCACCCCAGGATTATTGTTATTTACAAAATCTACTGATACAAGAGTAGGTTGCTTAGTGAGTAGGCAGTAGGAACGTCAGCTTAATTGGTGTGGAGTAGCTGTCGCACATGATGGTCATCTCGTCAATCCCGCTGAATTTTTATCATGTTAGCAGTGAGACTCTGCGGAGTCATCGCCATATTTGATGTAGGCGTATATATAGCGTGTAGCCACATATATAGCCACTGCTGTCGCTCTTGCTGGTATGGTTAAGCTGTAATGAAAGACAGGCACGGTGAGAATAATGTTGCTCTCCGTTCTACTAATGCTATGGTAATTTCTTTTTACTGTCAAATGTACAGACTCCGTTTGGCATGACAGCTGTGTAAATGCTGTTCTAACGCAAGACAAAAAGCTCCCTAATCGTGGTGTAGAAGGAACAAAGAGAAAATGTAACATGATATTAGTTTAGACCTCCAGGAGGTTGTCTCATGTATGAAGCAGTTGAGAGACTCATGATGTTTGGAAACCATGCCATAAACAAGGCCTTCTGGATGCTATCTAAAATATCGTACAAAAACGTAGTCCATGCGAACCGGCTACTTCATCATTAAAATGCCTCGGTATGCGTCTCCATCAGTCTTTAGGTTTCTTCACTAAACTCACGATAGCTGCAATAGCACCCGCAACGTTGATCCCTAAGATTCCCAAAATGGCAAAAAGCGCTGCAGGATCTGTCTTCGGATTCTTTTTCACAAATGCTTGCATGCTCTTGACTTGCTCCTTCGAGAACGTTTGGGGGTTTGTACCGACAAGCGATTTCATCTTGCGAAGTTCTGGACTCTTCTCCACCAGACGCTGAGCCTTTGTTATCTCGTTTTGAGTCATTGACCGTGGTTTGAGCTGAGACGCCTTCCCCAGAATACCCTCCACCCCACTTGTGGGTGGCCCATTCGCCGGTACAGTCTTCAGATTGGGAGTATTCTTAAAACCCGACCTAAGCCAGCCTAGGTTGAGCACAGATCTCTCCTCGTTCTCGTTTGAGTTGCTTGGGGTGGTCGCGTTGGTACGACCCACTGGTAGATCTGCAGTGCTTGTTACAGTGCTGAGGTTTCCCAGACAGACGATTGCGGCCACAGTGATTACAATGAACGACGTTGCGTTCATGACAAATAGCTCTACTGTTGTTCAGACTTGAGTACTAGAAAGAAAAGTCAAGAGTGGAAATAAAACTGAATCAGTGTTCATGGCTTGCCTATCAGATCCCCCCCCCCCACCTTCACTTGACTCTGTACTTACATTCGAATAATTCATAATCAACAGTAATCTCCGATGGCGAAGCTGATCGTCTGGAGACAT